TTTATCTTCACAATAACACAGAAATCACTGCATTCAGGAGCACTTTTAACCAACACCAAAATCACATGCACAAACTTGTATTTCCTGGATAAAGACTAATTCCAGCTATCTGCAAGGTATACATTCAGGCTCACACATTAACCAGACTTAGCTGTTGCTCAACAAATCAGTGTTCTAAACCACAGTCTAATCCAGACTTGGAGAGCAACCTTAAACAGGTCTACTTCAAATACTACTCAGTTTTATTCTGTAGGGCTTACTCCTTGGAGCAACGCTTCCTAAACTCCTGCCCACTCACACCTCTCCTATAACTGCATTATATCGATATTTTTATTGTCTGGACACATGATAAAGAAGCCCTGGACATATTCCACCAGGCATTCAACAACTTTTACCCCACCAACAACCTGACAGTGATCCAAAATATGCAAGAAATACATTTTCTAGACACCACTGTAGAAATACAGGATGGATGCATAGACAGCACCTTATACTGGAAACCTTCTGATTGACACACATCTACATGCATCCAGCTACCATCCTAAACATACCAAACAAACTATAGTCTACAACCACATCTGTTCCAACCCTGCAGACAGAGATTCTCACCTGAGGGATCTGCAGCAAACCTTCCTGGAACTAAAATATCCACCTGATCAAGAAACAAATTAACAGAGCCAGAACGATACCAAGAAAAAGCCTATTAGAAGACAGGCCCAAAAGAGACAATAACAGAACACCACTAGTAGTCACATACAGCTCTCAACTCAAAACAGTTTAACGCATCATCAGTGACTTACAACCTCTACTGAATAATGATAGTTCTCTTTCACAAGCACTGCGGGGCAAACCTTTTCTTCCACACAGACAGCTCACCAATCTTAAACTACTACTCCTCACCCATAATAATACAGCATCTAACTTGAACATGGACACTGGTATCAGAACTTGCAATAAATCCAGATGCCAACTTTGCTGCCACATACACTCAGACAACGTGATCACTGGACCTAGCAACATGAATTATGTCATCTCAGGCTCATTCAGTTGTTCATCTTCTAACATTGTATATGCCATTAAATGCCAACAATGTCCTTTGGTTCTCTCTATAGGGCAAACAGGTCAAACCCTATGCCAAAGGATAAATGGGCACAGATCCAACATCAAGAATCACAAGAATGAGCAACCTGTAGAACACTTCATTCTTCCAGGACAGTCAGTGGGTAACCTCAAAAGTGGCTGTTTTATTGCAAAGGAAATTCAGGAACAGTCTGGAAGGGAAATTGCTAAATTACAAGTTATTACAACACTCGGAAGAAACCCTCTCCTGGACTTAATTTGGTTTCTTATCTCACTATATATGCTAATCTCATCCAGTCCTTACATCTATATTCTCACCAAGAAGGGCCATACATCCTCTTTATTTTATTGTAGTGATTGTAGTGTAATGCAATGAATTTGTTGTTGTTCAGTCGCACAGTCGAGTCCGACTCTTCGCGACCCCATGGACAAGATCTCGCTTGTGATTCATCCAGGCCAGCATTTCGGATGATGTACTCTAATGCAATGAATAGTAGAATGTAATGTAATTTGGAATGGTAGATTGGAATGTATTTCTCTAGTCTGGTGACAGAGGACACATAACATTGCACAACCAATCACCCCACCTTAAAGAAAAGGATGCTGTTAGTTACCTCCATTCTTGAGAGGAAGGAGCATAACAACAGGGTGTCAGTTAATTACTCTCAGGTACATTTACACACCAATCTCCAATTTGGATATATTTATTTGCTTCACTATGTTTTCCCCCAAACATATGGTGACCATATAAACTAAGCTTGTTATTCCTGCTTGGGCTTTGCACCTGTTAAACATATTCATTATGTTGTATGCTAATTTGCTGCTCACCCTCTACCTATATATAGGGACTTGTAACTTCCATTTCAGTGTATCTGAAGAAGTTATTTGCTGTAGATTTTCCAGGCTGTATGGCTGTGGTCTTGGCATTGTAGGTTCTGATGTTTTGCCAGAAGCTGTGACTGGTATCCTCAGAGGTATAACACAGAAAGATGGAGTAGTCTCTGTGTCAAGGTGAGAAGAAAAAAATGGTACACAGGTAATTTATATCTACTCAGGAAGGTGGGGTAGGGCTGAGTCATTATCTTGCAAGAGTTCCCCAGGCTGTGACATGCTAATGTAGGAGCTTTCCTGAGGAGGTTCTTTTGCATATGAATCAGCTGTTGAAATTCTAATCTTATCTGTAGTGCTATTGTAATATGTAGAGCATTTTGTGTTTTTCAGGACAGGAAACCGTGCCCTATTTATTTTTAAACTCTTTTCTTTCCTGTTAAAATTGTGTATATGTTTATGAATTTCAATGGCTTCCCTGTGTAATCTGACATGGTAATTGGATATGTTGTCCAGCCTTTCAGTGTCTTGAAATAAGATACTGTATCCTGAGTTAGGCTATGTTCAGCCACTGCTGATTTTTCAGGCCCAGTCTACAGTGTCTTTCATGTTCTTTTGTTCTTGTCTGAATGCTATGGTGTGTGGTCCCAATGTAAACCTGTCCACAACTGCAGGGTATGCGGTATAATGCAGAAGTCAGGGGGTCTCATCTGTCTTTTGCCGATCATAGTGTCTGTTGTTATTATTCTGGTGGGTCTGAATATTGTTTGTGGTTTGTAGGTTTGTAGGTTTTTTCATAAATTTTCTCATCTGGTCAGTGATTTCTTTGATATATGGCAAAACCCCTTTTCCTGGGGGAGCCTGTTTTTCCTCAGTTGTTTGTTTTACCTTTGGTTTAATTGCTCTTCTGATTTCATTCTTGGAATATCCATTTGCTTGAAGTGAGTGGTTTAGATGATTTAGTTAATCGTTGAGAAAGTGCGGTTCACATATCTGTCTTGCGCGGTCTCCTAATGTTTTAATTATGCCTCTTTTTTGTCGAGGGTGGTGATTGGAGTTTTTGTGTAAATAATGATCCATATGAGTTGATTTTCTGTAGGCCTTGTGACCTAATTGAAGGTTAGCTTTGCGGATGACCATGATATCTAGGAAAAGAGGTGGTCCAAAAACTCCATCAGTTCTACCTCTCTGTGGCTCCAAATGATAAAGGTATCATCTATGTACCGGAACCAGACTGTAGGTTTGTGGGGTGCAGATTCTAAAGCTGTTTTTTCAAAATGTTACATGTAGAAGTTTGCTACAACCGGGCTGAGAGGGCTTCCCATGGCATCGCCATCCATCTGTTCATAGAATTCGTTATCCCATTGGAAGTAACTGGTTGTCAAACAATGGTGGAATAAGGCTGTTATGTCTTCCGGAAAAATCTGATTAACAAGCGCAAGTGTGTCTTTTACCAGAACCTTGGTAAAAAGAGATACCACATCAAAACTAAGTATGTCCTGTGGGTTGAGTTTCAGAGGACTGGTTTTGTTGATGAAATGTGTTGAATCTTTGATGTATGTTGTGGTTTTTCTGATGTGGTTCTGTAGGAGATTGGCCAGGTATTTTGCTAATTAATATGTAGGGGAACCAATGGCACTCACAATCGGTCGGAGTGGGACTGAGTCCTTATGAATTTTAGGGAGTTCATATAGTCGTGGTGGTTGTGCTTCTGTCTTGCATAGTTTTTTGTGTGTGTCAGGATGAAGTGAAGAATTCTTGATCAGTGAGCTCATTTGCCTGGTGATTTTGCAGGTTGGATCTTGTTTTAGTTTTTTGTATGTGGCGGGGTCCAAAAGTTCTCTAATCTTATTTTTGTATTCTTCTGTTTTCATGATCACTGTGGCATTGCCTTTGTCAGCTGGTAGAATAATAATGTCTGGATCCGCATTGAGGATCTGGATGGCGTTTCTCTCCTTACGTGTTGCATTGCTGGTAGGAAGCTTTGCTTTTCGTAGTATCCTTGCCGTCTCCCATCTTATCTCTTCAGCTTCTTCTCCAGGTAAATGATGAATGGCAGCTTCTACATTTGCGATGATGAGGAATTTCTTTGGGAGTGAAGAAGTACGTGTGCAAACAAAAGCTTATACCTTGAATACAATTTTGTTAGTCTTAAAGGTGTCACTGAGCTTGAATTTTGTTCTGTTGCTTCAGACCAACGCAGCTACCCACCTGAATCTATCTCCATTTAAGCTGCGCACCTGCATTCATACATCATGAGTAACCAGAGTTAATTTGTACCCAGAATTTTCTGCACATGGAGGGAGGAGTAAGACATGAAAGCAAACTCAGCAGTAAACCAGTTTCATGCACATGTCAGATTAATATTGGTTAAAAAGTGACATCTGAATGCAGTCAGGGTAGTGATCGACACAAAGTCTCCCATGGAGCCACATAGCTGAGAGGGGGCAAACTCAGGTTTTCGCAGTAAAAGTTCAATATTCTAGCTACAATGTCTTGCCATTTATAGATTACCTAGTTACTTTGCATCTTATTTTCAGAGTTTGGTTGTAACATTCTATTGAATTAAATTTCCTGTTCCTATTATACTTACATCGAGACAAACTTAATTGTCCTGCCAGCATGGGAATTAGCGTTCAGAAGCGGGTTTCTATGCATGCAGAGAATGCAGGTGTGCATTTATGTCCTATGGCACAAAGATGCTTTTTTGCATCTTATTAAATTGGCATATTTAAACAGTGATCATTTTTAAAGGGGGGGGGAATCCCTGAAACCCATGATGCTTTATTACCAAACTGGTAGCTCTCCTGTTTTATAAACTCGGGCACCTTAAAAAACAAGGGCATGCTTCATCCAGAATTCTATATATCTTTGACTTCCATTGGCATAAGTGGACAAAGGAATGATCCTATTGTACACAGCAGGTATAAACTGGAGATAGAATCACTTCATATGTTTTCTGTGTATGCCCTCTAGTTTAATTACGCCAATCTTTTTTTTTTAATTCTCAGGCCTGTGGAAATGTCATTCTGATCTCCACTGAAGAAAAATATATTTCTCCTTGACCTGAAGAGGGAGTTTTTTAAAAAAAGATGTATCCTGTTCCTGGTTCCATGCATGGAGTGGAGGGAAGTAATGGACATCCTAGGAAACTTATTTCTTTCCTTTTTGTTTTTGGCATTTCATTATTATGTTCTGGATTCCTGCTTTCAATGTTTGTTTTACAGACATGTCCAAGTGGAGCTTTTGGGGACTGTAAAGCAGCCCTTAAAATTATTGGGCCTCTGCTTGCTGTAGTTGGCCTCGTGTGTATCATTCTGGCACAGTCGAAGGCTAAAGGCTATCTCCGAGAGGTGCAGCTACAAGATGATCAGGTGTATGGCTTTGTCTTTTGCCGAGGAAACTGCCAGTTTGCCCAGTTCCTTGTCTTTGGCTTTTTATTTTTAACCAGTGGAATGCTTATTAGTGTCCTGGGCATTTGGATTCCAGGATGTAGCCCTGGGTGGCACTACCAACCATTTAACCAGAGCAGTACATCTGATATTGAATTCCAAGACTGTGGATTTCTCTCTGTTCAAACCATGGGTCCTTTGATTGTGCTTATTGGATTGTGCTTCTTTGTGATAGCTCACATCAAAAAGAAACAAAATTTAAATCTCATCCAAGAGTCTTCTGTACATGAAGAGGAGCATCTGAGTCCTGAATCGTTTCAAGTTACAGTAGGTAAGCAGATGATCTAGGTGACTTCACCAGTAGGCATCTCTAGGTGGCAGCTCTTTAAGTGTAGCAGGAACAACTTTGGAGGGAATCCCCTGCATGGGGGGGGGGGCTTGAGGGGAAAGGTGACAACAGCATCTTGGGTTGGGGGAACAGGAAGGAGGAACTCCTGGGCCCAAAAACTCCAAAATCTGGCAGTGGAAGTATAAATTTTTTCAACTGTCTTCTGGAGTAATTTCTGGTACAAAGGAAGGAAGAGTGGAATAAATTTTATGAAGGATAACAACATTATTGCATGGTGTTACGTTCAAAATATTTCACTCATATTATCCCATTAATCCATAGAACAGTATTATTGACCTTCCTTTCAGTGATGTCACACAATTTGTATCTAGATAAATACAAATGTTATTATACACTTTCAGTCTCTACACATTTGTGTGCTGTGTCTGAGGGAAGATTGATGGGAGGATGTTGGATGGATAGAAAATACCCACTTGAAGTCAAAGTTATCTACACCCGTGTGCTAAACAATTACGTGACTTATCGGATAGAAAATGAGTAATTGAGAAAAAGTTGCCCAGTAGTCACTGGCATACCAGCTATAATCAGGTTCTTAAAGAGAGAAATTCAGGATTTTTCAGCTTTGACACTATCACAGCATGAGGAAGGTAAGCTCACACTAATACTTGGCTAGAAAGTTTTAAAAGGAAATAAAGCCACATTCTATGCTTTGAACAGATTTTGGAATAACTTGGTGTCTGCAGGGCACTCCCCCCCCTTTTCCTGTGTTATAAAAGTCATAAAGCAAGGCACATGAACATTAAAGGAAAACTTTTATTAAGGCAATAGTAAAAAAACAATAACCCTTTTTTACACAAAACCTGAAAAAATATTTTGGAAGCTAAAGAAGGAAAATGGGTAACTGGTATGTAACAGAGCAAAAATTGAAGGGTTGACTGATTTCTTTTGGATAACCTAGTAAAGTATAAAACAGCTTGCATGCTGCATATTTGCCATGACACGCCGTTAACTGTGAATTTCTGTGTGAATGTTTAAACAATGCAGGCACAGTAACTTCACAGGAAATTGAAGGAGATAAAAAGGAATATAGTTTTCTCCATTTTCTGTGCTAAAAATGTGTTCCGTTTATTTCATCCCTCCCCATAACAACACCATTAGGTGGAGAGGTAACCAGTTGCTTAAGACTATCCAGGAAAGCTTCCTGCAGGATTGGTTCTTGCCTATCCAAACCTGATACTGTCTCCCAAATCAATGTGACTTCTAGCCACTGAGTACAGCACATCCACAGCATATTGTGGCCTGGCAGCTACTTGACAAGCCTCTCCTCCTGCCCTTTTGTAATCCAAGGCAAATAGCAAAAACAGGAGGTTTGTTGAGCCTCTGGTGGCTGATGAGTGACATTCGGCTTGTGAGTTACAAGTTGTGCATGCCTGTCTTTTCCACAGCAGTACATTGACAAATGAAGTCATAGTTGTATTTTTAGAATTACACGAACAACCAGCAGAGCTTAGTTTGATAAGATAATTTGGTCATTTAAAAAATGACTGAAGAGTGCAGGGGGTTGGACTAGATGACCTGCAAGGTCCCTTCCAGCTCTAACATTCTATGATTCTATGAATCTTATTTATAGTTTCACAGAAGCATCCTACCTGTATACAATGTAACTTTGATAGACTGCAATGGACATCAAAGGGGATGTAATTTCTTCTTTTTTTGTATTTTTTGGTATTTTTAATGATCGTGTGTGCACCTGAAAGTCATGGCGACCTCTGCTGAATGACCCCTACTGGGGGTCTGGAGGATATTCAGAGAGGTGGCTGAATAAAGCCTGCCCCTGCCTCCTGGCTGCTAGTATTCCATGGAGGTCTCCCATCCAAGTACTTGCCAGAGTCGACCCTGCTTAGCTTCTGAGACCTGATGAGATTGGGCTTGCCTGGGCTATCCAGGTCAGGAAAAGGGATTTAGTTTCTTAATGGCTGTGTTTATTGTCAGCAATATTCTGCATGCTAATAGATGGTAACAGACATTATCATTCTTTTTCCTACCATGTGTCAGTAGTGATGCTGCAGGGAAAGTGTAGTGATGCCTGATGCCTACAGATACGATGGTTTTCAAGCAAGGGTGTCTTGCATATGGGTCCAGAGAGCCACAGAGGAATCCGATTTTAAAGCTCTGTGTTTTCTTCTTTCATAGGAGATACTGTCATGGTATTCCCACCACCTCCACCACCTTATTTTGCTGACTGTTCCCTGCAAACAATAACTCCTAGCCTTGTGACAAGTGACTTGCATTTAGGGGAAAATCCTCCTCCATACCACAGCACTTTTGTTCACCAGTAAGACTGCTTTTATTTTTAACGTTTGTCCTTTTTAAGTGTTTTGTATGAGGGCTATTGGATATTCTTCAAGTAACATTCTAAAAACTGGGCAGAATCTGAAGATGTCTGACTAGTAGTGACTACAGCAACCTTGCTGAAGCTTCAGGTTGGGATCCAGTCAGTGCCTGGAAGGAAAACTAGTTAGAATGCTGCTGTGAGCACTCTTGAGTAAAGGTGTGATATAAATGTAGTTATCAATGATAACCTCTAAAATCCCTAAAACTCTTTCCTCTGTTATACCTGAATTTATAGTAAAATATGCCTGTCATAATGATCTACTGATGGTTGTGCCCAAGAGGGTTTTTTTGGTCCATCAGAACAGAATTCAAGCAAAATATATCATAGCAAATAGATTATGGATTGCATCTTATAAAGTACCTATGAAACTCTGATTTTCCCTGTTTCTCCCCCCCCCAAGTACCTTGTGACCCCAAAAAAAAGTACAGGAAGAGGGACAATTTTACCCCCTTACCCTTCATCACTGTAGCATATGTTTACTGTGTGCAAAGTGGCCTTGGCATCTGGCTGTTAGAATAAGGAGATCTGGAACTGGTTTATATCTATGCCGGCTTTAATTCTACCCCCTTCGGTGCTTAAAATATGCTAATATGTACTCTTGATTATTATGTTGCAGAACACAGACTACTGATATATCATGCTCAGTTACTTGCAGAGAAAACGAGCTGCCGCATACAATATCAGGAAGTGATTCACCTTCTGAAACTTTATCCATTCTCTATCTTGACTCTGAACCATCTCAGAAATACAAGGCAAAAGAAGCAGCTGTAAACAGTGAATGTGTTTTGTCTTCTTCCCCCTCTCTGTCTTATATGTCTTTGTCCTCTTCTGAGTCTTCCCTTGAACAAATTATGAGCTAAAATTTCATTTGTATGCCTACCTCAGTCATCTGAGGCAAAGTGTCCAACACAAGAAGGCTTTATGGAAGTAAGAGAAGCTTCACAATCACTCATCTCAGAGAGTGCTGGCAGAAACCTGTAGCCGTATTAGAGGTAGCTTCCCTCCCTTATACTCTGTTTGTCACTGTGCATTGATCCATTGTCATCCATGTATCACCTGCTGTTAGCAGATCTGAACCAGAGTGGAGGGAGTGGTGATTAAAAATGAGAGGGAAAAGGGGCTATGAGAGGTCATGGTGAAAATAAACTGGAAGAGGGAGCCTTGGCTCAAAGAGAATAGCAAGCCACAAAGGTGAGACAGCAGAGAGTGCCACAATAGAAACTTGGCAAAGCCAAGAGTTATATTACGGACAAAGCTCTCTAACAATTCAAGTCCACTGTGGGAAACATCATCCTGGTAAGTGTTCAAGATGAGGAAGACCAGACAGCCTTACTATTCCTATAGTTAAGAACCCTGCATTTTGTTTGTGATCCAAATACCGTAAGCAAAACCATCAACTGAAATCATGCACTGTTTAGATAACATTCTAGGACACTCAGTGATCACAGAGGAGAAATTCCATTGGCTTTGTATTTCTTTTTTTTAATAGTTGTTGACAAATTTTAAAGACACTGGAAACCTGAGATGTTGTTGATTTTATTGGTGTTTGAGCAGACCTCACATTCTTAACAGTAGGAAGTTGTAAATGTGAGAGTTAACTTTATTAAAAATTGTGGTATAAAATCCAGGTGTTGTGGTGTCTGCATTCTCTAGCAGGTGTCAGTATATAGCAATAAAAGCTTCATGTGAGTTGTGGAAGAAGTATAGAAGCCATTAGCAATTACTGCACATCTCTGTTTGGTTAAAAACACAAACATGCAACATGACATCATGAGTATTTCCCTGCTAACATTTACTGGTTGCTGCTTGCAGGGGCAGGGAATTGTCCACACAATGGCATAATTTGGTTCTTTTATCAAAAGTTACCTTTAAAGATTCCTCTGCCCCTCATAACACCAGAAGGCAATTTCACAGTGAAATTATTGCCAGTAGGTTCAGGGCAGACAAATGCTTCATACAATGCATAATAAATTTCTGGAATACACTTCAACAAGAAGCCATGAAATAGCTAGCTTTAAATAGGATAATACACATCCACAGGCTAGGTCTATCAATACTAATTAGTCTTGGCAGCTAAATAAAACCTGTATGATCTGATGACTCAGTCAAAAGGCGGGGAGGGGGGGCATTGGGCTGTTGCCTTCCCTGTTTGTGGGCATCCCAGAAGCATCTGACTGGCTACTGTTGAAACCAGGATACGGAACTAGACGGACCCTTGTCCCGAGTCAGCCATATGAGCTACAGAAATGATGGAATATATTGACGCTCTGAGGCCTATTTTTATCTGTGTCTCCGGCAGCAGGATTTCAAGTAGAGTGCAGGACCTGTGCCATATTTTGTGCTGTCTGCACTTTGAGCTCCACCAAAGAGCCAATTAGAACATGTATCTACAGATATTTTGACTGCTATAGTATAGCCTGAACAATTAATGTTTAATGAGTTGCCTAGGTATAAATACTGACAAAATTGTTTATTATAGAAAGCAAATTCTGACTGCTTCCAAACAGATTTTCCACAGCAGGAAAGAGGAATGTCCAGATGATTTCTGGCTGCCATCCCCCCTCCCTCCAGCCCGCCCCCGCTACTCCAGAGGAAATCTACCCTTCATTTACTCTACAGTAAAGGGGAAGCTGTGGGACGGCTGCACCCCATCTGGAAGCAGCGGCCTCTGTTGTATGTCTGCTGACAAATGCTGGGGTGCCTAATTCTGAACATTTATGATCATTACGTAAGTCATAATCCCCATGAAAATCAGTTTTCGTCAGCAGCTGAGAGCTCTTAAGTCAGAGCTGATGATGAGAGTTAAATCCCTCACCCTTGTGGCTGCGGTAATGATTGATTTCATGGGAATCACACTTCGTGTAAATCATAGTCCAGGGCTTATACCAACCAGACCCATTTATTTTGCACTTGGCCTCTTCTGAGAGAGGGAGCTGTCTTCCTACAGCCTGTTATTTACTCATCTGCGAAGCAGGAATTACCAGAGGAGATTGCAAGTGAAGGAGGCTGCTCTTAATGGGCAGCTTGCCCTACGAGGACTGAGCTCTGATGAATTATTAATTCTTTTGATATGCTGGACAGGGTTTTCCACGATGTTATCTTTGCAAGCTTTCAAAGTATCTTATGTTGGAAGCAGAGCAGGAAAGTAGCATCAAGTTATCATATGGAGATGTGCTATCTGCACACCTTTTCTTATGCTGCATTCCTCTTCAAACTTCTTGTTGATTCCCAAGTGTTTTCAGTGGCCCGTGAATAAATAGTTATTCACTTAATATATTTATGCATTACTTCTAAAACTATCGTATCAGTCGTGAAAACTGAGCAATAAAACAAGTGAAAATAATCTACCCATCTGAGCATCAGGAAAATCAGTGCTCTCAAATAAGAAACTTTGGCCATTTACAAAGGTTGGCCATTTATGAAGGCAGATCATTATATATTGGAACCTGGTCTGAGCCTGCTTTGTGGAGAGGGCGGGATATAAATTGAAGGAAATTGAAGGCGATAAAATAAGGTTGACACTTTGGGGCACCTGCAGGGTTCACAGGGCAAACTGTTCCATAAAGTCAGGGTGGCAGTGAAGAAGGGCCTGTTCCTGGACCCATCTGATGCCAGCTCCCAAAAAACTGTAATCTAAAACTGAACCAAGGGGGTGGAGGGTGGCTGCGGTGAGAGGTGCTCCCTAGAGAGATGGATCGTATATTTTCTGGCATTGTGCTTGGTTTCAGCCACATGGTTCTACAAAATTCTATACAACAGAGGGCTACACTTGCAGGGCTGTAAAAACGAGGCTTTCTCAGCTTTCACCACCGCTATCCTAATCTGGGGGTCATGACCACAGCCTATACCACAGGCTTGTTAGAAAGCACTCTTTCACTCAGCCTTAACTCCACCTTCAGCCTTCAATATGGGCCTTCCATAACAGGCCTGCTGGAAGTTACTTCCGCAGCCACGGGCCCCTCCTAAGCTGCAACAATAATGATGCGCTGTATTTGCATTTGATTGTCACAGCAGTCTTAACATGTTTGAAAACATTTTCCCTACTGTTGTCATTTTTTACAATAGTGCCTGCAAGCGTCTAATAACCCTGTTATTTATTGTCCTGGTGTTTTAGGACCATTCCCAATGGCTCTGTTGACCTTAAAAAAAAACCCACCCCTTTAACATCGATTAAGTTTTTAGCCGAATAATCCTAAAAGGGTCTAATCAGAATCCAACTCAGGTCCCTTCAGTGGGCCCTACTCCCAGAAAAGAGGATTGTACTGTAGGTTACCCTACAGCAAAGAGACATGCCAAAGCTGCATTAAGACAGCCATTTAACAAGCTGACAGGCATCTTCTCAGGCTCTGTACCAATACCCTGTCCCCTCCCCCACTGTTCTTTCACGTGCCTGCTCTAGGTACGACTGAGTCGCTAAATCAGTTCTGACTTTTCTTCTAGGTTCTATGTCAGGGACAGGACTAAATTAGAAGGAAACAAGAGGCCCACTGTGGTATAGTTAGAGTGTCAGACAACAATCTGGGAGACCCAGGTTCAAATCCCAACTCTGCCATGGAAGCTTGCTGGGCGATCTTGGAACAGTCACACATTCTTCACTTAACCTACCTCATAATGTTGCTGTGAGGGTAAAATGGGGAATGATTTAAGCTGCTTTGGGACTCCCATTGGGAAGAAAAGCAATATATAAGTGAAGTTAAAAGGTAAAGGTTCCCTTGCTCGAAAGCCAGTCGAGTCCGACTCTAGGGTTGCGGTGCTCATCTCCGTTTCAAAGCCGAAGAGCCAGCGCTGTCCGAAGACGTTTCCGTGGTCATGTGGCCGGCATGACTAAACACCAAGGCTCACGGAACGCTGTTACCTTCCCACCGAAGCAGTACCTATTTAACTACTTGCAATTTCTTGCTTTCGAACTGCTAGGTTGGCAGGAGCTGGAACTAGAGATGGGAGCTCCCTCCATCATGCGAACTGCTGAACTACTGACCTTCCACAGCCTGCAGTTCAGCGTCTTAACCACTTGAGCCACCGCAGCTCCTAATAAGTGAAGTTAGATATACACCTAAAATAAACAAGGCTGTGCAAAGCCTGGTATAAATCCCAGGAGTTTGGCCTTCAGCTCTTCCTGGCCTGCAGAGGAGTGCCCTCTGTTTGCCGCATTCAGGTCTTTATCTCCAGCTACAGCAACTGATCTCAGGACCCAGCATGGCGTAAGGATTAGCTTGTCAAGCTATGATCCGGGAGACCCGGGTTCAAACCCCCACTGAGCTGTGAAGCTCACTGGGTGACCTTGGGCCAGTCATTCCTTCTCAGGCTAAGCCACCACAGACGGTCTGTGTGCCATGTAAAATTCTGAGGACAAAACAGAGAACCAGATAGCAATGCGTGTCACCCTGAGCCTCCTGAAGGAAGGGAGGAGATTTTTTTAAAAAATTAATAATTAAAATCTCAGGGACCCTGGGGTCAGAGAATGCACATGACAGATGATTTCAGATAAGGCTGCTGTGCATTGGGTCCATTCTGTAACTTATCAACCACAGGAAGTCCAGCAATCCTGAAAGACACTTTCTGACATGGGGAAGGGGGGGGGGCAGAATTGAATTATAGCCCTGAATGGAGCCTCTTCATGGTTCACTTCTCAGAACTTTATTCTAGGCCAAGTTTCACATGATTTGTCTATTAACTCTACACCACAAGGTTTTTATATAACTCATGTGGACCTTTGACTTGACACGCACTCCCTAGCCTCTTTTTCATCTGAGGCTTTCTAGTTCTGGTCTGCAGTAATGGAGAGGAATAGCAATCCTACTGAAGACTACTCCATCAATGTCTTCTCCATTGCTCCGAGTCAGCCAAACAGCTCTGAAGCCCAGGTGTCCGATGACGACAAAGCTGGTGCTACTTTACTCTTCTCTGGTGTCTTTTTGGGGCTAGTAGGAATTACTTTCACAGTGATGGGATGGGCAGAATATGAAGGTGTTTCTCATTCTGAATGGACTCAGTTGCTAGGGCCGATTCTGCTTTCAGTTGGTGTGACTTTCTTGCTGATTGCGGTGTGCAAATTTAAAATGCTCACCTGTAAACCTTGCAGTGAAAGAGAGGAAAGCACATCAGGCACGGATCAGACTCCTCGTGGACAATCCTTTGTTTTCACTGGAATTAGCCAACCAATAACTTTCCATGGGGCTACAGTGGTACAATATATCCCTTCTTACCCAGCCCAGGAAGGCTTTGGTATAAATACTACAAGTTTCCACCAAGGTTGCAGCCATCATGGACTTCCTCCATCTTCTGGACTAATCATTCCCGATTTCAATCCTCCCCGGTATTATAATGCCTACCCATTGGATAACCGTGCTTTTTCTGCAGATGAGGACCACTCTGCTTATCTTGCAGGGGACACCAGAAGTGAACGGTAAGAAATTCAGGATTCTTGCTCAGATAGAATCACTGATTTTAAATAAGATAATTGGCTAAAGACTGCAGTGGACTCAACTGGTTCACAGAAAACTGTTGTTCCAATTAATGAACAGAGAACACATTTTAAATCTTCAAAAAGTTGCTATATTTCTCAATGCACAAATTATTTCTTTCCCATTATTTTTTCATCTTTGTTATCCCTGATCTGAAGTTACACTAATTTTGTCAATGCTGCATCAGGAATGGATTCAAGTAAATACTTCTGTTTGAGCCAGAACTTTGAATGAGTGTGGTGTAGTGGGAAGAGGCTCAAATTAGCATCTGGAAGACCCAGGTTTGATTCTTCACTTTGCCATGGAAGCTCGTTGGGTAACCTCAGGATAGTCTTCTCAACCTAATGTTCCTCACAGGGTTGTGGTGAGGATAAAATGGGGAAATAATATTGTAAGCTACTTTGGGTCTCACCATCATGGAGGAAAGTAAGGTATAAATGGAGTAACTAAATAAACTTTTCAGCTTTTAGCTCCAGAATTTTTTTAAATGTCAAGATCATGTAAGATCTTAAGAACATAAAAGACGCCAATATTGGATCAGGCCAAAGGCCCATCCAGTCCATCACTGTGTCACACAGTGGCCAGAAATACCAGTGCCATCAGGAGGTCCACCAGTGGGGCCAGGACATTAGAAGCCCTCGCACTGTTGACCCCCCCAAGCACCAAGAAGACAGAGCATCACTTGCCCCAGAGCCCCTATCTATACCTTGTGGCTAATAGCCACTGATGGACCTCTGGCTCTTCTTGGGCTTCTTACAGAGCCCCTAGTCTAAGAGTCCCTAGGCTAAGAGCCACAGGCAAAGAGGCCTTTAGCTCGCCCTTCGGCTCGTGCCAGAGGCTCGTGCCTCTGGCAAGGTGCTTTCTTAAATACTGAATTAAAGTCAAACACAGTCAAACAGTGCCCCTTCCTCTCCCTCTCTCAAGCAGCCAGGACTCTGGAACAACTCTAATCGCTTTCACACACTTCCAAACACAGTCCTCCCACAAAATATCTTCAGCTGAATCCCCTCAGCTGAAAGCAAATAAAAAAACACCACTCTAGCAGCTCTGTCTCCTGCTCCGAGCTCAGCTGGGTCTCAGCTGGATCTTGTGTACTGTAGTGGTCAGAGTGCTGTATTTGGATCTGAGAGACCCAGGTTTGAATTCCCACTCTGCCATGGAAAGTTACTAGGTGACCTTGGGCCAGTCATACATCCACAGCCTAATCTACCTCACAGGGTTGTGAGGATAAAATGGAGGAGAATGATGTAAGCTGCTTTGTTTCCCCAGTGGGGAGAAAGACGGGGTACAAACGAAATAAATGCATTGATAAAATGAATGGTAAAGATGAGGGAGACTCTGACTGTGTTCCAGTTGACTTTCTGTAATATTGGGAAGTCACGTCAAGACATGGGCACTTATCTGCTGTGAGGGCTCAGTCAAAAATATGACTATCAACAAGATCTTAAGTACAGATGTAGCAACACAAATGTTGTATACGTTAGTAGCTGTATTTGGGTCAGGTCAACAAAAATGTCTACCTATAAAAAGTGCCTAATGCAAAGTAGCATTTTCTATTGTCATGCTTGTCATAAATATGTACTTGCCAGACTCCTCTATCAGTGGAATGTCAGGCACACATTGTCACCCTTTCTTAAAAAGAATACAACGGATCTGGAAAGTGCATAGAAAAGGGAAACCAGAATTATCATGGCTGTCTTATAGCTCTGCACTCAAAGTAGTATAAAGCACAACAAATCCATACTGGAGGACAGGACATAATTTGCAGTAGTGAATGGCTACTCAGGTGAAACCCAAAGCAAGGCATTAGCCACTGTTCAACAATCCAAGAAGCAGACAACCCAAAGAGTTCTCATTCTTGCAAAATGCCTATTATTGTGATCCATAAGTGCAAAGAGTACCAGTGGGTGATGGGGCATGGCTCTGGAATTACAATCTGAAACGGGGGTGGAGTGTAGGTTTCCAAATTGTATTGCCAGTATGTGTGACTGATGATGCGGGTACAGCAGCCTGAAGACTGGGTGCACCTCAGCCTCCCCCCTGCCTCTCCTCCAAAGACCAAGGCCTTTAGGGTTGATGGGTCCCCCTTTGGCCACCCGTGGGGGTGGGGGATGGGGGGGATTTGGCTTACCAGTTCCAAGTTGGGAAACTCCTGGAGATTTGGGGATGGAGCCTCAGGAGGACAGCGACCTCTGGGGAGTTCAGTGCCATAAAAGAGTCCCACTCTCGAAAGCATCCGTTTTCCCCCATAGTCTGGATATGAGCTAGAATTCCAGGGGATCCCCAGGTCCCACCTGGAGGCTGGCATCCCTAGGGCACCTTTGTAAAGATCAAGAGCAAATTACAAAGGTGATGACTGATGATCGTAACGGGCTGTTCTGTGCAGGTATCCTCTCTATGAACATAGAGTTTAATTCACAACATTCCTAGTGCAGCTATTCTCTGTGACACAGTCATGGTTTCTTGAGAAGTCGACAGGAACAGGCTCCAGTCATTCCTCCACCTCTGGAAAAGTTCACTGGCACCAAAATGATAAAGTCACCCCTATGGGGCAACTGAGCATTATTAACTTTCCTCACATCTGCCCTGTAGCATCAGAAACATGTGCACACAGTGGCAGGAAATGGGCAGGCTCTCCAAAACGCTTTCTGTCAAAAGACTTTGTGTACAACATGCTGTCAGAAATTGATACCTTGCTTGGGATCAGCACATAATTCCCTGCTCATCCCATACCAAGTGGACAGCAGAATCAAAACATGGATTGCATAGTGAATAAACTCTAACCAGCTCTTGAGGGTTATATCTGCACATACTTATCCCATCTTGAACAAGATGGAAAACAGTTTTCACACTCGTGACCATTCTGGAAATTGTACAGCCGGGCATGTGCTCTTTTGCAATAGGGAGACTTCAGACATCTACAACAGTTGCTTTCCTTTTATACTGTTGCATCATAATCCCCAGCTGTATCTCAATGTGTTTCTTTTGGTGACGGCAGCTCTTTTTGAGAACCAGATATGAGCAAGTAAGGGAAGTGACTACAATGAGAGATACTGAGCGTGCTCTCTCCTTGCAAGCCCTGGGGCTGTTTTGCTGCTCGGCAGTTTTTTCATAATAAGCAGTTTTCCACTTTCCCCATCCACAAGTCTGAGCATAAAGCAGCACACTGTACCATCTGCCAGCCTCTTTCCCCTAGTTCAGACTTATCTACATTTTCTAGAGTGTAGCAAAATCTAATCCCAATTTTGGGCAACAAAGGGACACAGATTGTAGCCGAGCATGCAGTCCACCTGCATTTGCAAAGGCATCCGCCATTAAGTAGATGCATTCCTTGCCTCCTATTGCATGAGGAAGGCGATTATGTGGCCCCCTGGAAACCTCACGGCCTTTACACATGATCTGCTTTTTGCCGATTGGTTCCGCTGCTGCAGTTGTGAAGGCGAAGCAGGACAGATGTACATTAGTGTGGATCCCACCTCCACAGTCTATATGGGCCTGTAACATCTCCCACACTGGTCCCTTATCTCTCTGCATCAGGGTAAATTTTCATCAGGGAAATGGTGCAGGGGAAACAGAAAGGGTTAAAAGTATACATACACATACATGCATGCACATATTTAAGAACAATGAAGATGTCAAGAGTTCTCAGATCTTTATCACTGGCTTCTTGTCTGGTTTGGCCCTTAGCGCATGCACATATTTAAGAACAATGAAGATGCTTCTTGTCTGGTTTGGCCCTTAGCCTGTATCTGTCCATCTCTCACCTGAGTTACTTACTAACTGCAGTGCACACACAGTACAATGTCATCTTGCCTATGCTGGGGAGGAGGAGAAATACAGCATTCATCACAGCTCCCTGGCCAGTTTGCAGCACCATCTGCCAGTTTATTTATTTAAAACATTTGTTAGGCAGGACTCAAGGCAGCTTATAATTTAAATAAAACATTATGAAAAACACAATAAAAACAATGATAAAACCTGTAAAAACTCCAATTAGGACTGCCAATAATAAAATTGAAATCAATCAAAAATGCAGTCCTAAATAAACTGTCTTCAGCTTCCTCCTGAAGATTGAAAATGGGGGGGGGGCAGGCACACCTCCCTGATGAGACTGTTCCATAATGGTGGGGCTGCCACTGAAAAGGCCCTCCGTCGTGTTCCCACCAGATGGGACAGTCAGGAGGGCACCTTCCCATGATCTTGATTCCTGGTCAGGAATGTCTGGGAGAAGACGGTCAGATAACCTGGTCCCAAGTCATGTATGGTCAGTAGGTGCACGCAACATGTACACCTCAGCAGCAGTGCTGCCTATTGCTGGGGAGCAGTCAAGTGTAGCATTTATTTTATTTATTTATTTTACATTATTTATAGTCCACCTTTCTCACAGGGACTCAAGGCAGGTTACACATAGTGAGCCAGTACAATCCACAAAATGGGACAGGCAATAACCAATGCAGTGGGATATTAGAAGTCTGGAACCAAGAGAAAGAACTGATGCACAGCCTAAGTATTCACATGACACATTAAGCAGCACAGAAATTACATAATAGGATCTTACTTACACTAAGCTAAACACAGCAGTACAGACCATGGTCCCCAAACAAGTTTGTAAAACCATTTTGTATGGTGCAACCCTATTACCTGCACAGTAAAGCCTTCTTCTTCTTCGTATTTTTGTAGTGTGTATGTGCGCGCGTGTGTGTGCATGCCTGGAAGTCATGGCAACTTCTGGCAACCCCTACTGGGGCATGGAGGATGCTCAGGGAAGTGGCTTGATGCAGCCTGCCTCTGCCTTCCAACCCTGGAATTCCAAGAAGGTCTCCCGTCCAAGTGCTTGCCAGGGTCAGTCCTGCTTACCTTCTGAGATCTGACAGATCGGGCTTGCCTGTGCTATCCAGGTCAGGGCCAGTCAAGTCCTCTTTAATAGTTCAGTTTTGCATTGTTTGCAGAAAGCCAGGAGTGTGGGAGCTTTCCTGACCTCCTCAGCCAGGCCGTTCCACGAGGGCAGAGCCACAATGGAGAAGCACATACATGGGCTGTTGCTGGTTTTGCCCATTTGCAGGCTGGCACCTGCACAAGCCCCGGCTGATCTGAGCAAAGTTGCTGAAGCCGAGCGTGGGGGGAGAGCTGGTCCCACAAAAAAGAGGGCCCACGGCCATCAAAGGCTTGGTGTGTGATAGCCCAGACCTTAAACAGTGCCCAGTAACAGATGGGCAGCCAATGGAGAGTCTGCAGAATGGGAGTCATATGCAGGCTCCGTCTGGCACCTCTTAATAGCCGGAGCCACGGCATTCCAGACCAGCTGGAATTCCCAAGTTGATTTTGAGGGGAGACCAATGTGCTGTGCATCTAGTCTCAAGGTTACTGTGGCGTGGATCCAGGTGGCCAGGTCAGCCCTATCAAGGTAAGGGGCTGTCTTACAAGCTAGGCTGAGTGGGTAGAAAGCCTTTTTTGCAGCTGCACTAACTTGCTTCTCCAATAATAAGGCTGGATCTAGTATGATCCCAGTGCTGTTAACTGAGCCAGCAAAGGTCAGCCGAACTCCATCAGAAGTGGGGAGAACACAAGGGTCCTTCAAGACTCTCCCCCTTTTCAACCAACATTACCTCTGTCCTTTCAGGGTTTCATTTCAATGTGTTCACTTTTCACCAGTGAACTACTGTGGCCAGGCAGAAACTGAGCATCGCTTCATTATATGCCAGCATATGCAACAAAACATTTACCCCTATGCCTGGCATACGCAGCATGAAAGAAAATAGACTATAAAATCACACAGGAGCCGATGCTTATATAGAACCAAATCACAGCCCTTCCCAAGCAATATAAGCAGCATAAACAGGTTAAACACCACTTTGGAAAGAGAAATCTATCAGCACAATTGGCAGCAAGATCTTTGTGTAAATCTGCTGACTGGTAAACATCCCTGTCAGTTACAAATATGCAGAGTCACTCTCACCTCCCTGTCACCTCTCCCTTTAACTTAAGACAGACAGACAGACAGACATCAGAATAATGGCCAGATTTAAAGATTTTGAAGTATTTATGGTTATTGTTAACCCCTCCCCCAATTTGGATTAATAATAAGGGCTATATAACACATGTTGCATTATGGATCAGATTTTAATTAGTTAATATCCAAATACATGTCCTCACTGGTGATTTGTGCCTAACTTAGGTTTCAGAAGCTGCACATGATACTTAATGCTGTGAAGCCACCAAAAAGGTTTCTAAAAATATCTGCTTTTGTAACGTACCAGCTTTGCTTCCTGCACTTCAGGTTTATGCCGCTTATAAAATGTGTCTCTCCCCATCTTCACATTTCCAGGTCAACTGATAGCTTTAAGGAACCCGAAGCAGCTTTGGATGAAGATGTTTACTGTGATTTCCCACCTCCACCATATGAGAAACTATTTCCACCGCCATCATAACTGTGCTTGTTTCTGTGAGATATTTATATGTACACTAATCAAGTATGAACCGACGATATGACAGAGAAACTTTGGCTTGAGAGTGCTTTCCTGCTCACCGTGGGCCCCACCAAATCCTTGCACCAAACATGAAGCATTTTTTCCGAGTGTGGGACATTTTGAGCTCAGGTCCATCTTTTTCAAGCATCTAGACATCCCCACCTACTTACCTAATTTTTCTGGCCTGAGGATGGGATCTGTGCCAGGAGTTGAAGAGAATGTGGTTTTGTGGATAATGTCACATAGATTATGTTCTTTTTGATAGGTACATCAACAGCTTTTAGCCACGATGGCTAAATCCACATTCAAAGGCTCTTGCTGAGTCCCATAACATGGGGAGGTGCTGGTATCTCTGCTCTTGATATGGCTCTTCTCGGGAGTCTAGTTGACCACTATGGGAAGTAGGACATTGGGCTAGGGGAGCCATTATCTGATCCAGGAAGACTCTTCTTGCTTCCTTGGGTGAGTGACTACTCTTGAGTATTTAGTTTCATATTCAGTCACATTGGGGCAGCGGAAAGAATAATAACAACAGCTCCTGTTATCTGGGCTCAGTCCTGCAACCTGTCTTCAGCACCTGTGGAAAATACGAAGTTGTTGAACAGAGGGAAATGTCTCTGACAAAGGAGAACACCTCTCCCTTCCCTCAGCCCAGCCACAGAGTCCCCCAGACAGCAGGGATTAGGGCATTCAGATACAAGGGGGTGAATCCTGGGCAAGTCCTAATCCCATTTTAGAAATCAAACACAGGTCATTGCATTTTACTGAAACTAAAGAAGCCTCCAGTTGCCTGGAATGCCTAAAGACAATGGCTCAGATCCAACAAGCAGCAAGTGGTACAAAGGCTGTGGAACAGGCGGCCTTTCCTGCCTCCCCATCATGCTGCAGCTCATTGACACCCCCCCCCCCAATTAAATAGCATGGGGGTCAAAGTGGGTGGTCGGGAGGGGGAGAGGGAATGTTCAAAAATCACCTGCCCCTCCAAAGGAAGGGCACATTCATCTGTGGAAAACAACCGCAGGAGACAAGCCATTGGCCTAGTTCAGAGGGCATGCACCTTGATCCATTAGCAGCCACCTAGATGCCAAGAAATATATCAGCTAAGTCAGCCGAAGACTTTCTGTATGGCTGTATAGACCTAACATTAAATTATCTGGGACTGAACATGCCAGATCTCTTCTCTTCTCTTCCACTGCTGTATATTTGTCTGTAAACTGACAAGTGACTACTGCCTCTGGCTATGCCTGGTTTAGAAGACTTTTATAAGACTGCTTTATAAGACTGCTTTATAAGACGTTTTGAAATGTTTTGCTGATAGTTTTAAATAATAATAAAAAAAGATTCAAGTAATGTGAGAAAGGTAGTGAGATTACTGAGAAATTATCTCTAATTCATATTTATAAGACCCTTTATATAAGTCAGCCCAATAGTTCTGCTGTTTAAGGATTACACAACTGCCCCGACATCGAGCAATTAATATAATATTTTCTTCTATCAACAATTTTGCAGCATTTTCTCATGGAATTTTTCTCATGGAGCTCTCCCATGGAATAACATCTCATGGGATGTTATTGTTAGAAAAACAAGCAGAAGTTAAAAAAAACCAAGGCACGTCATGTGACCCCCTGGTCCCCCCCCCCCCCCCAATTTGGCCTAGTGGGTGGCTCTTGCAGGCTGTGTTGATTTTCTTGTTATTCCCTCCTTCTGCTAAGGCGGATATTCCTGTCATCCTTGGGCAGGACCATCTGTCGGACTTTAAGACTACTTGGTGGGTTTCTCTACCAGCTTGATCTCATATGAAATTCAGTACCAAAAGGTTCCAGGTATCACAAGCTGATGAATACGATGGGGGGAAGAGTTTGGAATGAACCTCTGAAGTAGCTGGACTCAGGGAATGTAAAATCACCATGGTTACCATCTGCTAAAAAAGGTTACAGGATGAGATAAACATGGAGTCATAGAAACATGTTTTTCAATAGTTCTGATAATGATGAACAAATAGGACTGCAATGTTCCCTTTTGCTGGCAAACCATAAATAGGAGATTCACTCAGGTTCCTGCTCTTAGGTTCATACAGCAGAGATGTGTGTGTGTTCAAAACTAAATCAATTTATTAACAAGACGGTATAGGGATGGGAGCAACCTTTTCAGAATAAAGGAGCTCATGCAGTCTACAATTGTAACAAACAAAACTAAAGAGCAGAGACTTGACCCCATGAGACTAAACCAATGCAAACAAATATCAGTGGGGGGGGGGACAGACTGTTCCATCGTAAGTGTACAATAAGTACTCTACAAGGACAACAGCTGGCAAGAAGGACTGTGCAGGGCATCCCTTTTTTCCAGTCATGCAAAAAAGAGTGCACTTTTTGAAAAGGGAAAAAAAACCCCAAACCTTAAGCAAACCCAATACACCAGAGTACAAGTAGTGACCACCAGGCACGTGATAGTGTAGGCTGCATCCCTTCCTTTCATCAGTGCTAGTGAGAAAAACTCCTGGCCTCAAGGCTCCACTAGAGATAGATTAGTGCGAAGGACGTCAAGTTGAGCAGGCCATGCATTGACAATAATTTTTCAGACACTTGGTGAGAGAGTTGCCATGGCCTTTTGATGCATATGCTCCCCCTGCTCAGCTGCAAAATTCTCAGGGTTTTTTTTTGCAGTGCTCCACATCCTGTGCCACCTGTCTGAACACAGAAAATAGCAGGACACAAAGCTGTGTAGCCACAGGCAACGAGACTACCATTGTGCAGCTTCGCATCTTGTAAAAATCCTAGAATCTGTACAGGGCCCCAGTGGACTTTGACACGACTGGGTGGGAGGTGCTGTCGACACACCTGGAGGACCTTGTACAGGTAGACGGACGAGCCTGCCCGGTAGGTGGCTACAGATGACAATCTGTGCATCTGCAAGTCATTCCAGCTGAGAAACTACAACTCCCAAGACTGAGACCGACTCCCAGAACACTGAGAGATGAGGGGATCTAGCAGGGTTGCCAACTCCAGGTTCAGAAATGCCTAGAGATTTGAGGGTGGAGCTTGGGTGAGTGAGTTTTAGGGAGTGGGTGGACCTCAGCTGGGCATGATGCCATGCAGTCCACCTTCCGGAGCAGCCATTTTCTCCAGAAAAAGTGGAATAAATGTTTTAAATAAAATGTATGTAGTCTGGAGATCAGTTCTAATTCCAGGAGATCTCCGGCACCGACCTGGAGGTGGGCAACCCCAGATTTATGAAAATACATAGCTCAGTATGCCTATTCCTGACTTCTTTCTCTGTCCTGGTGCATCCAGGAACAATCAGTGCTTCACTGCACTTCCTAATAGGCATAAGGCAGTAATTAGCATTCATCCAATGGCTTACAAAGGCCTAGGGTTGCCAGCTCCAGGTTGGGAAATACCTGGAGATTTTGGGGATGGAGCTGGAGGAAGGCAGGGTTGGGGAAGGAGAGGGACTTCAGTGGGGTATAATGCCAGTGGGTCCAGCTTCCAAAGCAGCTGTTTTCTCCAGGTGAACTGATTTCTGTCACCTGAAGATCAGTTGCAATAGTAGGAGATCTCCAGCCACCACCTGGAGGCTGGCAACACTACAAAAGCCCTGTAAGGGAGACCAGTGTTATTACTCCCACATTGCAGATGGAGAATTAAGGTTGATGATGTAGGGTTTCACACAGGTCTGGAGATAGTAGGGGTCCCCCCCCCCGGTTTTCGGGGCTTCTGCTCACTGCCAGTCAGCTGACCGGCAGGGGAAACCCCACCCCAAACAGCATCATCTATGATGCAATGACATCTCCCGGAAGTGATGTCATCACGTTGGGGACGTCACACAGCGATGCTCTGGTTTGAGGACAAAACTCTATGGTTTGGAGCCAGTTTTACCATAGAGCCTTGACCCAAAACCAGAGCATTACCATGAGATGTACCCAATGTGATGACATCACTTCCAGGTGATGTAATTGTGTCAGGGATGTCCTGGAACGCGCCCCCCAACCCCCCCTGCCAGCATGAAGAGGGGAGCTGGCAACCCTACCTGGAGGAAAATGTCCTGTCCCCTTAATAGAAATCTGATGTGTGGAAATGGGCAGCTGAAGCTTTTTTATTGCATGAAGGAAGATCCATCAAGTCTATTAAAGGGACAGGACCTTTTTCTTCAGGCCAGCTGGCAAACCTAGGTTGAAGGAGAGTGACTTGCCACCTTGTGAGGCTACAGCAGAAGCAAAAATCAAACTTGGGGAGATCCTCCATCATGGTCATTCTCTTCATCAGTCTGCTTCTAGGGGTGAACTGGGAAGTTAAAATAGCCCAGGAACAAACCAAGCTGATCCCTTGTGGTATCCGCAATGGGCATGGCTGGCCCATTGCCTTTTCCCACAGTGTTGGCAGTGCAGGCTGCCATTGGCAAACTGACACTGATCAATGTTGGGACAAAGTTTGAGTCCAGTGGCACCTTTATTCAAGGTATAAGCTTTCATGTGCACACACACTTCTCCAGATACAATAAAATGAAAATGACCAGGCCATACATAGAGGTAGAGGGACTCCAACTTCGTTCTGCTGCTTCAGAACAACAGGGCTACCCACCTGAATGGATCAATGTTGCCACCAGTGAAGGATCCAATCTAAATGGCCACTGGGACTTTATTATTCTTGCTCCTGGCCACAGTGGCCATCCATGGCAGCAGACCACCCGGAAAACTCCCAGTAAATTATATAGCCCCCCCCCCCGCCTGCTTTTGCAACCCCAGATGCATCTTTCTCAGCTGAAGGATGAGGGAGGAGAAATACTTCTGAATGCTCCCATAGGGTAAAAACTCCCTGCACACAGGAACACGTGCAGAGCTAGAAAAGAGATGAGGCGGCCCTTTTCTCCTTACTGGGTTTGTTTTCCAACTGCAGGGAGGGTGTTTTTGTTCGTTTTTTGCAAAGGAACCTTCAGGCTGGAATCACTGGCCTGCCGCCGCCTGA